ATATGATTGCTGAAATTGAAATACCAAGCCATAACAGCAATTCCATATAATAATAATCATACAAATACATTTCCAGACTCAATAGCCCTCACATATTTAGCCGTTCAATGAGCCTTCACTTTTGCGGTAGCCAATTGAGGGCGGAGAGGCTCCCATTCAGGTTGTAGTGCCAAATTAATACGAAAATTACGAACCCTTTCAAGTTTTTTTTTGTATCAGCACCTCGCAAAATCATTCAGAATCTTTTGCCTATATGGCGTGAAAATGACCTTATCGGAAGTGCTCAAACACTTGAAGTGATTCCATCCTCGCATCCATTCATAGGTAGCTAAGATCTGTGCTCGGATATCCTTTCGCACTCCAGCAAAGGTGAGCTCGGTGAGATCTCGTGATGAGAACGGCTGCAAAAAGTGCATTCTCAGCAGGCACCTAAGGCTACAATTGCAATCAGACAACTCACAATGTCGTCGACCTCACCAGCTGAGAGTATTTCTGATATACTGCTCTTCACACAGTAGAGAATACTACGTCGTTCGTTGTACAGTCGCTCTTCTCTCAACAACATCCCCAAAACACCATCTCCAGTTTCCCTAAATACGGCAGCAATCGTTGTTGATTCAGTAGGAGAGAGGGGGAATGGACTCAAAACAATGAACGGCTCACCGCAGCGATCCGAGCGAATGTGGCAATAGCTCGTGATCTTCGGAAACTGATGACGAGTAGGAAGGAGTGTCAGGAGAGTGCGCAGGCATTTCCTGAATGAGCCTTTTGCTGATCATAACATGTTCAGCGTTTACTCCTCTAACCCTAGATTTAAAGGCACAACCCAGGCAGAAATCGTGCGAACGGTTTCCTTAGGTCTGTAATACAGACACCTAGAAGATAATCTCTGATGTGGCAGTCCCGTGCATGGAAATAACACCTCACAAGGGTGCTAGGACTTTGCAAAGTGAGCTACAGCAGCTGCAATGTTTTCGAGGCTTTTGTAGGCGTCCTCTTGTTTCTTGAGGCTATCGCCTCATGCTCACCTCCTCGCGCTCACACTCTCATTGCCTTAGCACAGCCACATTGCGACAGTTAGCAGGCCCTTAAGTTTAGCATTCCCAACAATGCTTTTCCTTTTTCATTCCTCTGGCTCATTGCAGCAATACGCTCATCTTCGCGTGCAAGAAGCACATCAGTTCGAGGGGGTAGGCCTTCACTGAGCTGAAGAAAAGGCGGTGATCAAACGGAAAATCTGCGGATTCGTCACACTAATGATCAACTTATAAATAGGCGCAGGATCGCCGGAACTGTGGCTCAAGCTAGAAGCTTGAAAAGGGATTCCGATGAAGGCTGATGCACGTTTAGTAGAGACTAAAGCTGGCTGCGTGTTCCGCTGTGCCATGAAGCGTTCATTAAAGGACTTCCAGGGTGATAAAATTAAAAATTTATTGCTCCACAAGGAAAGTTGGAAGTTGGAAGCATTTAAGATGATTGAGAAGTATCTTACGGCAGCGACCGATCCACCCGCGGGCCATTGCTTTGCTGGAGAGTCTCGTTTTGTGTAAGAGATCTTCCGACGGCCAATACTGCCGTCGCGGCGTGGCTGGACTGCTGAAAGAAAGGACTAGTGCGGTAGGAAAATGGAGCCAGAGGTTGCGAGATTGGCCGCTTACCTTGTCTTTCCATGCCCATTTGAATGCACTTGGCATATCGGCATGCACGACAAATGATTCGCATTTCTAAATTAGCGATCTCAAGCAATAAAATTAATCACTCAAACAGCTCTATTCCAAATATATTCGGTTTCTGTACAGCTGCAGTCATAGGCAATCTATAAGCCGTAGGCAAATTTAATTGTATTATTCTGGTGCTTGAATCGTTTTGAACAGACTTATCACCTTTCATAAATTCAATTTTTGAACACTAGTCCTTGACTGCATCCCACACTCCCTGAGCCCCGCGCTGTGGGGGCGAAAACTCTTCCTGGTTGCAAAAGGGTGGTTAGCCGTAGCACTTTGCCAGGAAGTAGACTAAAGGATGGCGGCTCGAGAGATCTCCCCTCCCCCTACGGCAGTGAGGGCTCTGCGCCGGATTAGGCTAGGCGGTGGACTGTTTATAGCCACTATGAAAGGTTCTAAAAGAATGTACCCTCATTCCTCGCCCACTCCGTGGATCCCATAAGTAGAAAGTGAAGCAGTCTTAAAAGCGAAGCAGTCTTAAGCAAATTATCGGAAGAAGTCCGTCTGTACGGCTGTTTCGGTACCATCAATGTTCGAAGTTTAACAGGACTTTGTCCGGGCGCCCAGAGTGGTACCGGACGAAATAGGTTTAGAGAGACTGGCACTTTTCCAAGTACCAGTCGATAAGCAAGCACTAATCCTCATGAACGTATGCTTTCCCACCAGTGCCTACGATGACGCCGTTATCAAGGACTTCTAACTCAATATCAGAAGCCATCCGCACAAAATACGTGGCGCCAGGGTTGTGACCGCAACCCGCGGGGCGAGGTCTCAGCCGAAGTCACCAAGTGGAAAGGCTGTTTGTAGCAAACACTTCTTCTAGAGGCGGCAGGGGCAGCGGTATACCTGGTGGGATAGGTAAACACGCGCTGGGCCATGTCCTGACCGGGAGCCTCAGGTACTTCGACGACGTGACGGTCATCAGCAAGTGCGGTTCACTGTCGGTTCCGAACTAATGGTAAGGTTGCTCCTGGCAACATTTGAAAGCAAAAAAAAATTGAAAATTGGAGCCCCGGCTCAGGGCAACAGCTCTGCAGTCTCTCACCAAGATGTGTGTCAATCCTGACATCGTCGACTGCTTAGCCCCCACGGTGTGCAAACCCACTAGAATATTCGCCACCGTTGACGAGGAGATACGCAAATTTCTTGGTCGAGGTAGATCACGCCATCGAAGGCCACAACACATCACCTCTTATTGTTAGGCACCATGTCTGACTACCAAGACGCCAGAGCTACTGAGAATGAGAAAAGCTGTGACCAACGAGCCACCTTGGGAGAAGCTCGTCCTCAATAGAAGAAAATTCGCGCTTCCTTAGAGCACATCTACAAGGATCACGCCATCCAGAGAGCCTGCGGAGCAGCCGAAGGTTTCGATGACGGCATTGGGTGCAGTGATGGTAGCGTGTTCAGAGGTGGTTTAATCCACACCCCCAGCGAGCTGGTCCATCAATGTCGTCCAACGAGGCATCAAAATTGCTCCGCCTTCCGGTCGTCGTATTCAGTATCTTTGAATTAAAAGCTTGAAATTGATGTTAATGAATCGGAAGATCTCACCAAAATGTACTTTGCAATTGCCCTGATGAGCACATAGGAAATGTCGATCCAGGGTCACCGTCCGCCTGTAATGAAACGGTTGGATGCGCGTAATCAATGGGGTTCATTGAAGAAAAGGTTAAGAATCCTTGCCTGAAGAAAGCAGCGCATGCTGAGCAGGAAGCCGCGTTGAAGTGATAGCCATTTGATGGAGCGCTGCAGATCGTGCACTGGCGTGTGGGCGACAATGATCGGACTGGCCAGTCTCGGCACTCTGGAAACGAATGCATTCCATTTTGATTATAAACAGTGAATTCTCAAATACAGATATTCATGTGGTTCCGGAGCGTAACAAGGTGTGTTCCCAGGCTTTTTCGATGTTCCTGCTACGCTGATATTTATTTATTTATTTATTTTCATACGTCCAGTGGACGCGCTCATAAGGTATACGGAGTATATTCAAATAGAAATACTATCAGACGCGAAAAGGGCAGCAGTCGTCCTCAGTTGAGTTACAGCAATTAATGATATGTTAACGACTGACTTAACCAATTTGTGAGAGACAAAAACGAGAGAGGGGCATGTTCAAAAGATCCCTTGAGTATTGTTTGAACTCTGGGTCATACACTAGGTTGATCAGTTGGATTTATGTACAGATTTGGAAGTAACAAAGAGCATTGCCATGAGCCATAAGGTTAGTGCCTCAAAGATAACCCTACTGCGAGGCCGCAGCCCTACAAGGGCGGGTGCAGAAACACCTCTTTGATCTAAATACGAACCCTAGGAGCTGGCTCGGGGGCGCTTGTGAGGATAGCTAACCATGCGATGCCATAACTTGGGCTCATTTTGGGATTGGCTTATAGGCTTTATATATGGTATTTTTACATATGCTGTCTTTCAAAAACGAGAAGAGCGTCGGGTGCAGACCATACACCACAAGTGACGACGGCCTCCACAAAATGTAAATGTTTTCTGCCAATGAAATGATTAGCCTGTTGCAGTTGTATTCTATCAGTTGTCACTAATTACAACTATCATTTACCAAAATCAGCTATCACTATGAACCACTACTAACCAGATTTACTTGGAGGCCGTCGTCACTTGTGGTGTATGGTCTGCACCCGACGCTCTTCTCGTTTTTTGAAAGGGAGGGTATGTTTTAGTTGAATGGACCGTCGTGAGTCTGTCTTACAACTTCTGCAGTTACTAAACTAGAGTGGCATCTATAATCCAGATTTCACTACTAACATCTCCCACCTCTAGGTTTTAGTCCTCATTCACTATTTTACTTTTGTGAAGTTTATAGACGACTTCAAAATTTTTGAAGGATATATTAATTAAGGGGTTCATAGATACACACAAAGCATATTCTACGATGCTATCAGAGGCTTACCTCAGTATCAAACTGTATTGACGATTAAGGTTGAAATTGAAAGTAAAGCGCGAAATGGACCCATTATGAAGAAAAATGAAAAACAAACCACCGAAAGCCCTGGAAACGGAAAGCTCCCTAAGGCTGCGGCGGGTGCCTGGAGATGGACAGTGAGATAGTAGGTACTCATGCCGCGGAGACGAGGGAAGAGAATCGGTGCCGCGAGGTTGGTAGGAATAGCGTGCTGTGTAGAGCGAGAGGTGTTTTGGCCTATGGCGCCAATTCTCGGGCGGAACTCTGAGTGCTAGGTGGAACCTACAGTGCATATGCCGTAGCGCCTTTGCTTGGTGATTTTGTGCAACAGGATGCTTGAAGATCTTTCAATCTTCGCCACCGTAGCAGTTCTACTGACCCAGTTCCCTCGGCTATGCCTTAAATGAGTCTTGGGGACATCAATACTTTTTCACAATGCATTTTCGTTCTCACGATCAGAGACAGCGGGTAAAATAGTTTGGCAGTTTCAGAAAGAATAAAATGAGAATTAGAAGATCTAGCATCCTTCGCTAGACAGCTCGACTAGATAATATGCACCACGTTCAGCAGTGAGCGTGAGTTCGAAGCGTGTTAACTAGGCCACTCTTTGCGTTTTTCCTCTGACTTCTACTAGACCCTCACTTGGCTGCCCCACTTGCTGGCCTAAGCTCGTTCTCGCCTAAATCAGCAGGCTACATTGTGGCCTATTTCGCGCGCTTAAAGCTGTTTCTCTAGATTATTTTTTCATTACTGTGCAACTCAGCAACCCGACCGTCAGTTGGACTGACGTACAC